AAACTTGATAGCAAACTTTCCATCCTGAAAAAAAGTTCCATTTTCAACTGTTGCTGTGTTAATTTGATCAGAACGTACAGTTTTGTTGCTTGATATGACGCCATCATTTTATTCTCTATATACTCCCCTTGTCAACAACTTTTAGGAAAATAACATGTTGTAGTGGACATGATGTTTTTGATAACTGGCGAAAACTGTTTATTCATTCTATTTAGGCTATTACTTCTACTACTACCATTGCTCATTATACTCAATTGAATTTAAAGCAGGCAGTTTAACCCAAGCGGTTCAATTGAAAACATGTGGTGGAAACTCATATTCTATCGTACTGGCCTTCTTACTGGCCAGCGGTTCTGCTCAGCAGTGCAGAGAAGAAAGGAGCATAAATGGAAAGGCACTGCGAGGATTCATCTTCCAAAAACTTTTGGTTACATCCTTTGATCAATGTAATATCAATTGTGAAAGGGAAATTACCTGTCAGAGCTTTAATTTCGTGACTGAAGAACACTCTTGCGTTCTAAAAAATTGCGAACTGAACAACCGAACCAAGAAGGCAAGACCTGAGAATCTCCGTTCAGATCCTGATAGAGTTTACATTCGGCGCCTAAACGGCAGGGGTATGTAAAAATATCTAAATCCACCTATTTTTAATGTTCATAAACCATTTCTGTGGTTCACAGTTATCATCCTGATCGCAAATTTACTCAACAACATACTCGTGTGGAAATGACTGCTGAATGGGATTATAACATGTTTGAAAATCTACACGTTTTGAAATCACTTTGACAGCTTCCTTGGGATCCACCGTAGAGCTTCCTGCAGAGTCATGTCGGGAAATAAGGGCAAGTGAAGGCACAGATGCTATCAGCAAAAAGTACTGGTTGGATCCATCTGGAAGTGGAAAGGCTGTTTTGGTTCATTGCAACATGGAAATGGAAGGTTTATGTACCCAATCTGTTTTTTTTTTCTATAAGCAACTCCTTTTAATCTTTATCATTTACATGACTTTGTGTTTCTTCGAATATAATTACCACAATCGTTCAGTTTAACTTTCTTTTATTGCCAGATATCGATGAATGTATCAGTGGCAATTATGACTGTCACGTAAATGCCACATGTATCAACACCATTGGCTCACATAATTGTACATGCAACGAAGGATTTACTGGAGACGGACCCATGTGTTCAGGTACCTTGTCAGACAATCACGATATTTTTTCCATGTTTCAGTGTTGACGACTTAACTTTGAGGCGAAAAATGTCAACATTTATATTGAGCTATATCGAAGAAAAAAAAACACTTTGCCTTAACTCGGACGGAATCAATTGTTAAGAAGCGGGTCAGTGAGGAATTTTGTCAGAAATTCGGAATTGATTTAGATGGACTGAAAAGTTGATATATCATACAAGATAATTCCTTGTGTTTTTTTTTCTCTCACTTAAAGGTAAATTTACTATCATACAATACAATTTTGTAAAATATTGTTCAATAGTGTCTGAAAAGGGGATTGCAAGGTCGATGATTTGGCCATGTAGATACAATATATGGCAAATTCATCGCAATTTTTTAATCTAATGCAACTACTGATGCCGGAGGTATAACGGTATCTTACAGTAAGGAGATAAATACCGAGAGCTGTTCGTTTTTCCTCGGAACCGATGACGAACAAAGTCACAAGTACTTATAAGAACCGTTAAATTGAAGGTTGAAGCTTGAAAGGTGTCTCTGTTATAACTGGTTATTCAAACTTTGAAAATTGATAAATATCCAAGTTTCCCCCCATTCATAGCTTTCCAGAAAAACTGTGCTGAAATCTACAAATCCGGTAACACAACTGACGGTGTCTACACCATTAAACCTGATAACGTGTCTACATTTGATGTATTCTGTGACCAAACAACAGCTGGTGGAGGGTGGACTGTGTTCCAGAAGAGACTGAACGGCTCGGTTGATTTCTATCGTAACCGGGCCGACTATAAACACAGTTTTGGAGACTTAGATGGTGAATTTTGGCTTGGGCTGGACAATATTCACCGCCTGACCTCAAATAATAACAACCTACTGCGTGCGGATTTGGAAGACTTTGACGGGCATACTCGTTATGCCGAGTGTAACATGTTTGGTGTTATGAATGAAAAAAACAAGTACAAGCTGATCCTTGGTAATTATTCAGGTAAAACAGTAAGTTTTGTAATTTTTACATTAGGAAAGTAGGGGCAGTGTCATAATCAATGCGTTAGTAAACTTCAGGGCTTGGACAAAATGAGAGAAAACTGATCGAGCCGGAGGAATATAAGAGGGGGGTTTCGGCGCTGGACGCGTTGAGCCGATGCCATCGTCATACTCAGTTCCTTTTGCCCAGTTACTTTCATTCCGAGTCTCTGAGGATGGATCGTAAATAATCCAAGGGCAGTTTGATAGGTACGTTAGCCGTTTGAGTATAACCTTTTGAAACGATTTGTACAACTTATTAAATAATCAAAATGAATATCGATATCATTTCATGTTGCTGAACTGTATCAATTAAGATTAGTCCTAGTTCCAGTCAACACACGGCCAACTGGAGTAGCAATATTTTCAATTTAAATCTCGTAACGTTTTTCGCAAACGTTCGTGACATGTGTAAAATTCGTGTTAGGGACTGCTCTTGATTCTCTTTCTTATCATCGTGATCGACCATGGAGCACTCGAGATCAAGATAATGATGAGCGTGGAAATGGTAACTGTGCCATTTTGCACAAAGGAGCCTGGTGGTATGGCGGGTGTCACCAATCCAATCTGAATGGTTTGTATCATGATCGACCTCACTCCTCCTCCCAAGGCGCTGGAGTACAGTGGACTATCTGGAAGGGATATCACTACTCCCTTAAGAGAGCCGAGATGAAAATAAGACCAGTAGATTTCTCACCTCAATGATTCTAACTATTCCGAAAGCCTTTGGCCAACAGCATAACTATTTCATATTTGGAGTTCAAGAAAAACGATTGACTAGAAAAAATCTGTTTGGTAGTCTCTAACATGTGGATTATGTTCTGTTTAAATAATGTTTTTATACCAAGTACTGAATGTTGTGCCTTCTTTCAGTTTTAGTTGCTTACTTGCGTTTTTTAATGCTCTTGTTCTGCTTTTTCGCTTTGGAGATGAATGGTGGTTTCTATCATGTTTTTAAACCAGGAAAAATCGATTATGTAGAGCGGATCATTTACGTGATGCGAACCGAGTTTGATTTATCCTGACTTTTTTCTGAACTCTTATGAGCACTATATTATATTTACTCGTGTTTGCATCATCAAGTAGTTATTTTAGTATGTACCACAAATGAAAACTATCACCTAGGGAACAATGTTGTGTTCTTGGTTCTGAGTTGACAAAATGTCAATGCACACGCCAATAGCATCTGTTTACATTGAAGAGGACATGTTTTCTTCTCGTCACCTTCAAAGAATACATGTAGTTTGTAGTTTTTAAAAAGCACTACGAAACAGGATTGATATTTCAAGTATTTTTAGGTTTACCTTCTGTTTCATTAAGTCTCGCCTTTTCGCCCCTACGTGCTATTTTGATAAATCTATAGTTTTGATCATTTATTTTTAGTGTGTGCTTGTACTTGGCTCAGCACTTACCGTGCTAGACATTTTAATCCCTTGTTGTGGTTGAGGATAACTAGTTTGCTAGGTGGTCATGTTTGGGTTGGTAAAACTGACCTTGAGTCTTACCCACACTGAACATCCTGTTTTGGAAGTTCCCACNTAGCTTTCCAGAAAAACTGTGCTGAAATCTACAAATCCGGTAACACAACTGACGGTGTCTACACCATTAAACCTGATAACGTGTCTACATTTGATGTATTCTGTGACCAAACAACAGCTGGTGGAGGGTGGACTGTGTTCCAGAAGAGACTGAACGGCTCGGTTGATTTCTATCGTAACTGGGCCGACTATAAACACGGTTTTGGAGACTTAAATGGTGAATTTTGGCTTGGGCTGGACAAGATTCACCGCCTGACCTCAAATAATGACAACCTACTGCGCGTGGATTTGGAAGACTTTGACGGGCATACTCGTTATGCCGAGTATAACATGTTTGGTGTTATGAATGAAAAAAACAAGTACAAGCTGATCCTGGGTAATTATTCAGGTAAAACAGTAAGTTTTGTAATTTCTACATTAGGAAAGTAGGGGCAGTGTCATAATCAATGCGTTAGTAAACTTCAGGGCTTGGACAAAATGAGAGAAAACTGATCGAGCCGGAGGAATATAAGAGGGGGGTTTCGGCGCTGGACGCGTTGAGCCGATGCCATCGTCATACTCAGTTCCTTTTGCCCAGTTACTTTCATTCCGAATCTCTGAGGATGGATCGTAAATAATCCAAGGGCAGTTTGATAGGTACGTTAACCGTTTGAGTATAACCTTTTGGAAAGATTTGTACAACTTATTAAATAATCAAAATGAATATCGATATCATTTCATGTTGCTGAACTGTATCAATTAAAATTAGTCGAAATAAGCAGTGAAACAAGAGAGAGAAAATTAGCTGTAGTAGAAGCAGCGTTATAGGAGAATAAAGAAGAAAATTACAGAGTCTCAGTACCTTTCGTTAATTCGCCAAGCGAGTGGTAAAACCCCCACAACAGCTACATGACAAATTTAAAAGATGTAAAACCTGGCATGGTATCACCTTTATTAATCCCGCACGAAAATGTGACAATATTGTATAATAGTTCTAAAACATCATACCCGTCCCCGTTAAGGTGTTTTATACATCAGCTGTACTGTCTGTGGTATTTTTAAATGCATATGTACTTCAATGAACTCTCGCAGAGAGAAGAAAATAATTTTAACAGGAGTTCACAGGCTGTAGTCTTGATCAGTGTAGATGTTACCGGGAATCATAATGTACGAAATACGAACTAATTTTTTCAAAAAAGTTTCGTTTTGTATTTTACTAGCTTATCGAAACAGATAACGATCTTCTGATTTTAATTTTCTTTTTTATTCATTACCATCACGCGTACAAAAAAACACAGTGTTAAGTCTTTTAAGAGTGCAGTCAGAAAAGTAGATATTTCAAGCTTCAGATAATTTGTAACTCTTCTGATCATGATTTTAATGTGCAGTATCATCAAAAGATTATCTTATATTACTTACATTTATGCAAATCCTGTTTTACATGTAAATAGCTCGCAACGTTAATGATAGATAAATCCCAGCAGTAATCATAAGAACATATGCAAGTTGTTGCCCCCAAGGTCACTCTTTGCTTTAACGCTCATCTGTACATAACGTTTCATACTGAGTTTGTAAAAATTCTAAATGTAAGGATGAGTAAGTCAGAATACAATAGAATAACAATAAAACATGATTAAGGAGTTGTATGTCAACTGCTGCGTTGAGATATTTCAATTGATTAAGAGGAAAAGTCACAAAAATAACAGATTTCCCCTGAATCATATTGATGTAGATTGTAGAAAGGCGAACAAATCCATTTACAAGAAGAGAGAATGATCACCAGGCAGGGTTTACATTACCATTCTTGAATAGTCATAACAAGCGAACTTTTCATGTTCATCGCAAGTCAAGTGTCGATTTATTACGTTCCGGGTATCCACTATATGTAAAAAGATTAACAATCAATTTAAAATGATGCAAAGAATCCGAAAACTCATCGCCAGAGACACTCTGTTAAAACTGTATAAGACCTTCATCCTGCCGCATTTTTATTACTGCTCCCCTGTGTGGCACTTTTGCGGCGCCCGCAATTCTGGTAAAGTGGAGGCCTTAAACAGGCGGATTTTAAGGTTTCTTTTTCATGATTATGAATCCTCGTATAAATGATACGTTACTGGATAAGGTCAACTTAAAATCTCTTCAAGTCAGACGCCTACAGAACTTTCTAATCATATTGTACAAGAGTTAATTTTTTACTAACTATCCAGGATATTTAAATGATATGTTTTCGTTTAGATCTACGTCCTATAACCTACGTGGTAATTACATCTTGTCCCTTCCAAAACCTAAAACTACAACATATGGCCTTCACTCTTTCTCTTACTTAGCTGCTAACTTATGGAACTCTCTCCCGGAGAACTTTCACTTTAGAACTTCCACTTTTCCAGACTTTCGGCGCCAAATACTTCAGTATGACTCCTTTGTGTAACTATACTGAATTTAGTAGTATAATAATATTTAAATAATAATAATATGTAAATATTTATCCTCATTAATGTATTATTATTAATTTATTCTTATTCTTATTCTTTATTCTTTTTAGCTTATTCCTTTTACTTCATTTTAATCACTCGAAGATATTAGCTTACATTTGCTACTCTTAAATTCGAAGTAAATAAAGTTTATATATGTATGTATGTCATACATATTAGTTCATTAGTTTTATACTTGCTCAGTTCATATCTGTAACTAAACACGTTTGTTGTTTAGAATGCTTAATAAAGACTTTGTTATTATTATTATTAATATGTATGTATGTATGTATGTATGTATGTATGTATGTATATATGTATGTATGTATGTATGTATGTATGTATGACGGGAATCTGATTAATGCAATCCTCAATTTTCAACGCAAGTCGAAAGAACGCTTCCTGCAAGAGGTAGTTACAGGCAACTGATTTTTAAAGAATCGAAGAGGAATTTGAAAAGTTGGTTTTCGGTGGAAGGAGAAAAAACCAGGAGGATTGTCTCAGCTATGAGTAATAATGTCTCCGTTATTGCTAATTAATGAACTCAATGAGGACCTTCAAACCAAATTAAAACATATTTTCTATAGCTGTTTATTGAAGAACTGCTGCTCTGTTATGCTCACTCGCGGATATAGTTCATTGTTTATTTGCCCTCTGCTTGGTATTGACATTCAAATTTAGAGTACTTCTGATACGATCCTTTTAACGCATCAAGTCAATGAAATTAAATACGCCTGCTCGCTGAAAATATCACGTTTCAAAAGTCGTAACAGCTAAATTGGCTAGTTGTCCAAGAAGGGAATAGGCCGTATAATTTAGTTGATAGAATAGCTATCCTATTTAAATCGATAGCAAAAATATATGAAGAAAATCTTTTCAGAGCAAATGTATTTCAAATGGCAATAACCTCATGCAATTTCAGTCCCATGATTCATTGTCAGCCACATGGTGTGAATAAACTAATTTTAGACCTTATAATTTTTTATGCTTTCACCATAACCATTGCCTCTATTGTAATAGAGGCAGATGGGTGGGAGATAAACGCCGCCAGCTTTATCGCAATCGCAAAAACCATGGTAACGCACCGCCTTTTAGAAGGAAAGCGCTGATTACTTTTCCACGCAGAGCTCAGATCTTGTGCTCGTTATCTACAAAGTGACTGGTAGGCTGGGCAGGGAAAAGAAATTTCATACATCCAGTCTCTAAAAAGCTGACTAGGGATTTAATTAGCTCTGTCAAGTGCTTCGATCCTTTCATTAGCGATTTCAATGTCGAGGGTAACCTGACTTGCTTTAAAACAGTTTTGATGGATCATTAGTAAAGGTAAGAATGATGACAAGATTTAACTCCCAGGTTTTTTAATACAATACGTTCGAATAAAGGGTATTCAGTTGTTTGTTGAATTTGGAGAAAGAGAAATTGCACTTTCCCTTGTTTTTAATTAATGTGATAGTTGAAACGTGCTCGGGAAGTTTAGGTACGATGCGAGTTACATTGCGATGTTTTGAGGTCTCCTGTGAAACGATTAACACACATCATCAACTACATCGACCATTATTTTAGTTCTCAATATTGCAAGTGACCTGCTTACAACGAGATCTAACTGTACTTAGCTATTTCTAACAGTTCAATGTTGCGTGCAACCGACCGCATCTAATCCACTAAACATTGTTTTGTCCTCTTAAACTGTCTTGACGACTAAAAGTACCTTTCTGTTATTTATACTTCTCTCTTCACATGTGATTCCTGTTACCTTTAACGAAGAATTTAGACTCAAAAAAATTTAAGCCAAACATGCAATTCAAAAGCTGATTGTAAACGGGCACGAATTAGGCAGATGGTTTGCATAATAAACACAAGCCTGACAAGAGTCCATTGGTAAAACTTATCATTAGATAAGAAATTCCATTTTTTCCAATTCCAGCCAAAACAATAAAGGAAGTCATAAAATCGTATATGCATAAATGGCTAGTTTTAAACACCTGCAACTTTGAATACATTATAATTGAATCATGCCGATTCCCGATTAGAATTCCTGTTGATTTTCAGACTCATAATAGACATCTCAGAAATAAAATGGAAATGAAATACGAATTTTATGCCGATCTCGTCGTGTAACGAATACGATTTAAGAGGAGGAAGAAAACTGCGAGTTTTTTTAAACTTCCCCTGCTTGGCTTTAAGATCTTTGTATGGAAATCGCTTGCCTTTTGCAGAAGATGATAAGGGTATTGGCAAAATCATGAAAAACAAAAACAAAAACATCGACAAAAATATAGTCAATGTTTATGGAGGTCAAGTTTGGTGTATGGAAAATATCATTAACGAAACACATATTCTTTAACATTCTCGTCACAGCCTTTAAGAGAAAAATAACCGCAGATAGAAAAAATTAACACATCGCTTGATTGTTAAACTTTCCCGCGTTTTGAACCCTCTCCACCTGGGGCGATATGCTAATTTTATTTTGGAACCACTATGTAATGTTATATACAACGAACATAACCACCTGAGTAAAACATGTTTACAACTTTCTCGTCCTGTCATCAGTTTTGCTGAAGGGCCCTAACGTTCTTTGAAAATCCACTTTGCTAATTAAACCATCTTTGAGTATTTTTTTTCCTTTAGGAAACACGGACTAATATTAATGCAATGATTACTTTTCTATGTCGAACCTATATCAGCAAGCCCAACAGAGACACTAGATACGAAAACATCGGTTTTCCTTCAAAAAGAAATATTTCATGTATGAATGATATTTTTACGCTCCTCCTATCGACCGTAGTAGGATTTTCACCTGCACGCAAGGAATTATTTTTTTCTGTCTGAAAACATGTTAGTTATGCAAATTTTCTTCATCAGCGCAATTTCCTGCTTAACGTTTCTAATCACCGAGTTCTTCCTAAATTGTAGAGCCTTTGTTTGAGGTAAGCATTTCCTTGTTCT